AGTTGCCACTGTTGGGCCCTTGAGCAAGGCCCTTAACCCTCTCTGCTCCAGGGACGCTGTATCATGGCTGACCCTGCGCTCTGACCCCAACTTCCTGGCATGCTGGGGTATGCAAATAAAAGAATTTCACTGTGCTGTAACGTATATGTGACCAATAAAGACTCATCGTCAATATTTATTCCTTGTTTTCTTTGTTCTTGGTCCAGGTCAGAGTGGTGCTGGTAATAACTGGGCTAAAGGCCACTACACAGAGGGAGCAGAGCTGGTGGATTCTGTCCTGGATGTGGTCCGTAAGGAGTCTGAAAGCTGCGATTGCCTCCAGGGCTTCCAGCTCACCCACTCGCTGGGTGGCGGCACTGGGTCTGGTATGGGCACACTGCTCATCAGCAAGATCCGGGAGGAATATCCCGACCGCATCATGAACACCTTCAGCGTGGTGCCTTCTCCTAAAGTGTCTGACACAGTGGTGGAGCCCTACAACGCAACGCTGTCAGTCCATCAGCTGGTGGAGAACACAGATGAGACATACTGCATTGACAACGAAGCTCTGTATGACATCTGTTTCCGCACTCTGAAACTTACCACTCCCACTTACGGCGACCTGAACCACCTTGTCTCTGCTACCATGAGTGGCGTCACCACGTGCCTCCGCTTCCCCGGGCAGCTCAACGCTGACCTGCGCAAGCTGGCCGTCAACATGGTGCCCTTCCCGCGTCTGCACTTCTTCATGCCTGGTTTCGCACCGCTTACCAGCAGGGGAAGCCAGCAGTACCGCGCACTCACCGTGCCCGAGCTCACGCAGCAGGTATTTGATGCCAAGAACATGATGGCTGCCTGTGATCCACGCCACGGTCGTTACCTGACCGTAGCCGCCGTCTTCCGTGGCCGCATGTCCATGAAGGAGGTGGATGAACAGATGCTCAACGTGCAGAACAAGAACAGCAGCTACTTCGTGGAATGGATCCCCAACAACGTCAAGACAGCCGTGTGTGACATCCCACCACGCGGTCTCAAGATGGCCGTCACCTTCATCGGTAACAGCACAGCCATCCAGGAGCTGTTCAAGCGCATCTCTGAGCAGTTCACCGCCATGTTCCGACGTAAGGCCTTCCTGCACTGGTACACAGGAGAGGGCATGGATGAGATGGAGTTCACTGAGGCCGAGAGCAACATGAATGACCTGGTGTCCGAGTACCAGCAGTACCAGGATGCCACAGCTGAAGAAGAGGGCGAGTTTGAAGAGGAGGCTGAGGAGGTCGCCTAAGAAGCGGAGACGCTTGAGAAAGGGCAGGGGAGTGGGAGTGGGAGCAGGATTCGGAGGGAGTAGGGGGAGAAAAATGTAGCACAGCACATGCGGAATCAACCGTAAGTGTCCTGAAGTTAAAGTTAGCACTAGACAAATGGGGCCAAAACAACCAGAGGAGTCTTGGACAAATGTTCTTGAGCACAGAATAATAACACTAGTAGTAATAGTTATTCATTACAAATCTGTTTTCATTTCTTTAACGTACCAAGGTCTTCACTCCCTCCCTATTCACAGCAGAAAAGGTATGATGTGGGCTATTTCCCAGATTAAGTTCAATCCTACCCTAGAAAGGATTTTCAGTGGAGAAATCATCGACACCAGTTTTAAATTTATGTTTGGGAAACCAGCCATATTGATCTGGCCAATACGCTCACTGCCCCATAGGCAGAACTGTGCAGTCTGGATAATACCAGATAAGTATATACATTTCCAATAACGAAGCTGTGATGGAGATGGGGGAAGATTCCCTAAAGATGATACGAGTGTTCAGACCCATCATTTATTTCCTTTTTCTTCTTTTTCCCCCACCCCTTCTTGTTTTACTGTTTAAAGAGTCACAGGAAACGTGAAAACCCCCAGAACAGATTCAAGTTAGAATGATTCTAAAATTGTTTGTGTATTCCTCCTAATGTGAGTGTTGCACTAACATTGGACAATTTTGCACAATGATGCCACTTCAACATGTCCTCATTCACAGTATTCAGTCAAATGGTTTACAAAGTGTGCAGGGTTTTACGGAATGGTGGAAGGAAGATCAGAAACGTGCAGGAACAAGGATGAGATTCCGATTGAGAGCGTTGTTCAGTCTTCTTGCCTGGACGCCAACCAACGTCTGCAGAGGGAAAGCCTGGACGGCATCAGTGGTACAGGAATGTAGAACGGATCATGCGGGAAAACTCGAACTTTAAAAAGAACGATTTTAGAAAGTTAATAAGAAGGAAGTACAATTTTTTGGACACAAATCTAGAGAACGTGCATCCTGTATCTGAGCCCAAAGCTTTTTAAAAGTTGTTTTTAGCATGTTTAGTTTCTTTTTCATCATGAGGTGTTAAGAATGTCCCTTACATTTTATACTTCGATTTCATAATGGAAGGACCTGAGCCTCTGGGGATAAAAAACAATAAAATAAACAAATGAAACACTGTCTACTTTTCTGATTGCTTCTTTCACATATATTTCACTTATATTTCCAATACATGGCAACACAACATTTTATAGGTTTAGCTTATAAAATATAAAGTACATTTACTATATTATATGTCCAGCAAAGAAAAGGGGTTAAAATAAAAGCAGAAAATTCATAATGACAAAAAAACAACACAAGACAAATATAATGAACTGCAAATATGTCAGAGATGAAGCGGCTTTACTCGTCAGGCAGATTTACTTCTGAAGTTTTGCTCAGGCTCTGGCAAGACACTCCTAAACAGTTGGAAGTAAGATTTACACCGTTCTGTTTTAGACTTTATTAGACCTAGATCTAACGCAAATCAGCTTGATTTAGGCCACAATAACTCTGCAAACTCTGGCCTTTTTTTAGACTTGGGTTTAGCTAGTAAGCAGTCGAGTTCGAGTTGAGACCAAGTCCTTATCCAACCGAGTCCGAGTTCAAAAGGGGCCGAGTTGGACTTAAGTCTGAGTTCTTAATGGAGGAGTCCAAACCGAGTCCGGCCGAGTCCAGAAAGTAATCAAACTGAAAAAAGATTTGAAATTGCAATTGCAAACTCAACCCTGAGCTGTTAAATTAATATTTTAACCTTCACAAACCAACGGCAACATAAATGCGACAAAAAAATACCACTATTGCATCTTCCATTGCCATTTAATATTTTTTATTTCACCTTGACTAGTTTCCTATCAAAAAATGGTTTCAAAGAAAAAAAAAGGGATATAGAGTTATATGTAAAATTTTTATTATATTACAAGTGTATGAAAATACAAATGGAGCTGTCTAGTTATTGTATCACACTATATTGTCTCCTCCAGTTCAGTCCTCTCCCCCACAGTTATATAGACTGAGACAGAGAGAGAGAGAGAGAGAGAGAGAGAGAGAGAGACTACAGAGTAGAGTTACATTTAGCAACATTTCATAACAGCAAGCTTCATGCTTTATTACTGCTTTTAATCTGTCTATGAATGACAACAAACTCATTTCTGAACACAGCTCTCTTCTTGTAACTTTTTCTTTTTAATTCCTAAAATGAAAAATAAAATATCCCTATCAGCAAGGTTTATCATATTTACTACATTAAGAAGTACATTAAAGATTTTACATGAAATTCAAGACTGGGATCACCAAATGCTGGTGTTTAGGATTGGGCGATATGACTAGAATCTTATTTCATGATAACAATACATTTTCTCAGGTAGGTCTAATCAGTAGTATCCAATTAAGAAATTGTAAAGAAAGTGAACAAAGAAATTAAATGTAAAATGAAATAGACTTCATTGTATGACATTTACTAAAGTTATTCAGTCAAATGAATGAGTGAGTGATTTGCTCTTTGTATTTTGTTGTTTGATTAACATTAATGAGAAACAGCAGCAGGTTTATTAGACTGCTGTCACTTTAAGACCTAATGCACAGATCCAATATATGGTATTGACACACCTCCGATTGGTTTCCCAATTGTTTACATTCACTCAAGACATAACTGACTGTGTTTGCTTGAATACTCGGCCAGACCTGCATTTCTACATGATGTGTGTGTATTTATTTGACCGTCCAAGCGTAATAAACTACTAAAGAGAACTTCATTCAGCACTCGCATGATGAGGCGGCTTTCTACAGGCGTGTTTCAAGTGTGGCAGGGAGACATTCATTCCTTATCTTGGTTATCTTAATTTTATGCTGACATCTGACCCTGCAAAAACTCATTTAATGGAGGTAGCTCCACACCTGCAACCCCATCATACACACATATACATATATATATATATATTACACACACACACACACACACACTCTTTGTGGACTGCAGTCCACTGTTTGTGAATCTCCCCCACATTTTTGAATGGGTTTTGTTTCACAATCCTCTCCAGGGTGCGGTTATCCCTATTGCTTGTACACTTTTTTCTACCACATCTATTCCGTCCCTTCGCCCCTCTATTAACATGCTTGGACACAGAGCTCTGTGAACAGCCAGCCTCTTTAGCAATGACCTTTTGTGTCTTGCCCTCCTTGTGCAAGGTGTCAATGATCGTCTTTTGGACAGCTGTCAAGTCAGCAGTCTTCCCCATGATTGTGTAGCCTATAGAACTAGACTGAGAGACCATTTAAAGGCCTTTGCAGGTGTTTTGAGTTAGTTAACTGATTAGAGTGTGGCACCAGATATCTTCAATATTGAACCTTTTCACAATATTCAAATTTTCTGAGATACTGATTTTGGGGTTTTCATCAGTTGTCAGTTATAATCATCAAAATTAAAAGGAATGAACACTTGAAATATATCAGTCTGTGTGTAATGAATGTATACATTATACTAGTTTCTAGTTTTTTTTAATGGAATTACTGAAATAAATCAACTTTTTGATGATATTCTAATTATATGACCAGCACCTGTATATATACACATACACATATATAGATATATTTACAGTATCTCACAAAAGTGAGTACACCCCTCACATTTTTGTAAATATTTGATTATCTCTTTTCATGTGACAACACTGAAGAAATGACACTTTGCTACAA